TAAACTATAGCTTAATAGCCCCTAGGTAGTATATTATATAAATAAGAACTTCTTAAAGGTATAGCTTATAGTAATACCTATACTATATATAAGCCTTATTAATATAAGTCTAGAATTTAAAAAGTAGCTATATTATAAATATTAAGAGGACCTAGTCTAGGTATATATATAGGATACTATTATATATAATAATAAGTTAGCTATTAATAATAAAACTAAACTCCTATTTAAGATTAAAGATAGGCTTTTATAGAAAGTAGTTATAAATTACTTAGATAAGCTATATATTCTATATACTATAAAATAAGATATCTTTAAAGCTATCTATATTAGTAATTATATAATATATATAATAAGCTTAAATTAGTATTAAAATAATACTATATATATAAAGGTAGTAAGTATTTTTAAGAGTTCTTATAGTATTATACTAAGTATTAAAAATACTATAAGTAAATATATATACTATATAAAAACCTATAGCTACTATTACTAATACCTATACTATACTACTATATCTTAATTAACTTTATACTAATACTATTACTTTTAGAATAAGGGTATATAGTAATACTAATAGTAGTTTATAAATTTAGTAAGTTAATACTAGTAGCCCCCCTAAAGAATATATTTAATATAGTAAAGGTAGTATAAATCCTACTTAATATACTATTTAATAAAGGCTAGGGTATTCTTAAGATTATACTCTTAGATAAGGACTTAAAGTTTATAATAGTATTATAATAGTATATATAAAAGTAGATATATATAAAGCTTATATATACTATAGTATATTACCTATAAATAGATAGCTAAATAGAATAAGTAATCTAGATAATATTCTTAGTTATTTAAGTCTATATTATTAGCTTAAAGAAATTAGTATAATAGGAATTAATTATACTATAATTAATCTTTTAAATTAATAGTATATAATCTATATTAATAAGGTACTTACTATATAAAGTTATTAAGGGATTTAACCTTATAAATATACTAGACTACTTAATTAGTAGTATACTAATAAAACTAAACTATAAGATAGTTAAAGTCTTAGTATATAATACCTTTATTATTACTATAATAATAATAAAGAACTATTATAATTAATAGTATATAACTTACTTTTTTATAGTTAATAATATAGTATATTTTAGATTATATAAAGGATATATTCTAGCTAATAACTTAAGGTAAAATTTAAGAAGTAATTTATAAGACCTTATTATATTATAGAGTATATTAGCTATACTATATACTAACTAGTATTATTTACTATATTATATATCTAGCTAGTAATTTTAGTTAACTACTTAGAACTAGTATATAGGCTATTAGTAGAATCTAATAGGCTACTAGTAAATATATAGATAGCTATTAAAAAGGCTAGCTATATAATTCTATAGGCTAGAGAACTATATAAGTATACTATAATACCTAAGCTATTATAGCTTTATATAAAAGACTATAAAATTATCTAGATAATAAATAAGAAGTATAAAGATAGTATATAATTTTTTTAAGTATAATATTATAATTTAGATAAAAGTTATAATAAGTAGTTATTTATTAGAAAGTTAGGTAAATATATAGTAGTAGTATTAGAAGATTAGATATTAAATAAGTATTATTTATTATTAGACTACCTAGTAATATAGTGTTTATAAAACCTCTCCCCCCCCCCCCCTAGCTTACTTCCTACTTCCTTTATTTCTTAATATTAATATTATTACTTTAAATAGCTATTTCTTTCTATTTTTTAATTTTTTATTTCTTATTTATATATATAATATAATAAGCTTATTAATAAAAGTAGTATTATATAAGGCCTATAAGTATAAGAAGATAAAGTATTAAGATCTACTTAATAACCTAATAAAAAAAGAAGGCTTTTATATATTAGCCTCCTATCTATTAACTATACTAGCTATACTAAGTAAGCCCCTACTAGTAAACCTTAAGCTTATAAAGCTTTACTATATATAGATACTAAAGAATATTATAGATCCTATACCTATATAATATAATAAAGTTAATTTAAAAGCCTTATATAATATAGTAAATAAGCTAGTAAAGTTACCTAACCTATTAAATATTAAATTCTAGCTATTACTAAAAGCTTTTATTATATAATAAGTATTATATTTAAATTAAAATATCCTATTTATAATAATATACCTTAAGTAATATATATTAAGTATATAGTAGTTATATACTTTTAGCTATAAGAATATTAGTAATTTACTAATAACTAAGTATAATATATTAAAGCTAAAGATATTTATATAAATAGTAGTTACTATAATAATTTATAATATAGATAAAGCTTATATTATAAAATAATATCTAAAGAATAAAAACCTTAAGAAAGTATTTATAAAAGTTAAGCTTTATATAGCTAAGTTTAATATAATATTAAAGATAGAAGAATAGGTAAAGGATTATATAATAGAATTAATAGTAAAACTTATAGTATTCTATAATAAGAAAGGGAAATAATAAGATAATAAAGTATAGAAGATAAAGTTAATTAATATAAAGTAATAAAGGCTAAAAATTATTAAAGATATTAAGTAAATTAAGCTAGTAATTATATATAGTAATAAGAAAAAAAACCTAAGTAATATTAACTACCTTATTTATATATAGTTATAATAAATACCTTTTTAGCTAATAGCTAAACTATTACCCCTTATTATATAATCTAATAGCTATATTAATATTAGGCTAGTAATACTATAAAGAGTAGTTAGGTATAATATTATATTAATTAAGGTAAAATATAAATACTTATATAGCTTATAAGAGAATATATATAATATAGTTTAAAGTAACTTATATATAGTAAATAGGATTAATATTATTAATAAGTTATAAGTATATATAGCTAAGATATAAGGAATTATAAATACCTTAGAAAAGAATAATAAGATAATATACTAAGAACTTACCTACCTAAAGGACCTAGTTACTAGGATAAATATTACCTTAGTAAGGCTATACTAAAATACTAGATAGTTTATAATACTACTACCTACTTTTATTAGGGTAGTATACCTAGAAGGTAGTACTAAGCTACTTAAAAGCTATATAGGGAAGCTAATATATATTATAAGAGAGATAGCTATTATAATAAGGGATTAACTCTAAAGACTTTAACTAGGTTAAGAAATAATAAAGGCTATAAAAGATTAGATTAATAAAGTTATAGCTTATACCCTTATAAATAAGCCTAATATAATCTTATATAGTATTAACTTTATATACTAGATAATAAAGATAAGTATAGTTATTATATAATAAGAAGTTATATTTATATAGGTATATATTAATATACTAATAGCTATATAGAAGTCTAGTAAATACTTATTTAATATTATTTTTATATTTAAATATAAGCTTTTTAATATATAGTATATAAACTACTTAATTATTATTATTATATTAAAAATTATATATAAAATAATATAAGAAAAAATAATTAATAGTATTAATATATAGCCTATAGAATAAACCTATATAGCTTTTAGTATATTTTACTACCTTAATATAATAAACTATATCCTAAATATCTTTATAATAAAGGGCTTAGAAAACTATATATACTAATAGGTAGAGTATATATTTATATAGTAATTAATACTAAAGCTAGAATTTAATAATAACCTTATATAGTATATAATAATAAAAAAAGCTAAAGATATAGTAAATATAATACTCTTTATAATTAAAATAAATATAGTTATTAAAGTAATTAAAATAATAACTAAAATAATAAAGCTAAAGTTAAAGTCTAAATAGAAGCCTATATTATAATAGCTAAAGCTAGTTAAGCTAATTTAAGATTAAAAGTAGTATATATTTAAAATAGATAAAGGCTAATTTTTTAATCTTAAGAATAGCTAGTTTACTAATTATAAAAATATAAATATAAGTATACTAGGCTTAATACTAATTAAGCTAAATATAAAAAAACTTAAGTAGAATATAAAGATATTAAAGCTAGCTTATAAAAGTAATATAGGTAAAGATAATATAGATAAGAATAAAATAAATAAGGTAGATAAGATAGAAGTATAAAAATTCTTTAGTATAAAGGAATTATCTTTATATATAGTAAAGTATAATTAGTTTTTATTTATATATAAAGTAAGATTATTTAGTTTCTTCTTTTTATTTTATAAGACTTATATATACTTATAATTTAGCTTAGCTTTAAAGAAGGTATCTTTATATATAATAAAGTATAATTAGTTTATCTATATATAGGGTAAGATTATTTAGTTTTATTTAATAGTAAGGTTACTACTATAGGTAATAAGGCATATTATTACGTGTATAGTACTACTTAGGGCTATAAGCCACCTACGTAGCAGCTAGGGAATACATTATCATCTTGCCGAACTCTTATGCCTAATAGTTTGCCTCTCAACCGTTTGTCTCCCAACAATTCTGGGAGCCTGAAATACGGCTATGTAGGCAAGAAAAGTCGCTATCAAACAGAAAAGGCACTATAATACATATGCTGATTTTTTTCTCTCTATACCGTAAAATCACATCCGTCTTATTATTGTACATGAAGAGGCAAGATTTTTTTTGTAAGCACCAGGGTAGCTAGAGTGTAACAGTGGCACTCAGAGGACTCGGCAGGGCCTGCGACAAAGCAAGGTGTATTAAATAATAGATGGTATTTTCATGACAGCTACTGCTATACGACGATAACTGAACTTCCCGTCTGTATTTCAGGGCACCACCGTGGGCAATTTTTCCATCCCTGAGTAGGTAGGCTCCAACAAACGATGCTTCCAGGCCGCTCGCCGTAGCAGGCCGCTAATGAACATGGTATTACAGAACATCGCAAGATGTGCGAAAGTGAGAATTATCAATGCCCCTGAATGTTTTGTCTCCCGCATCCTCATAATCACCCGCCACTTTCTAGTTACCCCTCTCACCCCATCCCGGCAAAATCCACGCTGCGATTGGATCGTGACTTTGCTGATATGGACGACTCCTTTCCCAAGACAGACCAACTCGACCAGTTCCTGTACACTGGAACCGATGGGTATGTCGAAAACCTGACGAGATATAAACGCAACGGGCTACATCCCATCCTCCTTGGCGACATCCTCCCCAAACCAGGAACCTGTGTAGGGAACCCGGATGGAGAGCCGCGCTACCGTGTCCTGCTGAAACTCGGCTTCGGAGGGTTCGCTACCGTTTGGCTCGCTCGGGATCTTGTCGACAGGTGGGCATGTCCAATCAATCCGGCGACTCGATATTAATTGCATTGTAGTCGATATGTCTCGGTCAAAGTTTGTGTTGGCTCGGACGTTCCAGATCGGAGCAGCGAAGCGACGATTCTGTCCGAGATTCGCAACGACGGACAAGGAAAACCTGGCCAGGAAAGAATTATCCAGCTTCTTGACGTGTTTACTATCCAGGGCCCGAACGGATTCCACGAATGTTTGGTGACGGAAGTCGTCTCTTCACTGAATAATTTATATGTCGTGGACCACTGCTCATCAGACACCGTTTACCAAATTTTAGAAGGGTTTGCTTTCCTCCATGGACAAGGCATAGCCCATGGAGGTATTTCCGCAAGGCTTTCCAGTCCTATCCAAGCAGCTGATGGTCTACAGATCCACATCTCGCCAACTTTGGAATTGCCCTCCCGCAGTTGGAGCAGTTTAGCGAGGACCAAATCACCGAATACTTTGCGAACCCTGAGGTTATTCCCGTCGTCCCGCGCGATGCGTCGTTCCCATTGAGTTCTGTACCACCGTACGTGACTCCCTGCGTATCGATTGCAGAGTTTTTGAAGTTGATGAAATGCTTCCCGGTGGCGCCGACAATGTCGATTAAGATTTTGGACTTTGGAAGAGGTACGTGGATTACATGACACGCACTTGTTTCGCATCCATCGACCTTGCGACTGACACGTCCTAGCGCACAAGACGAGTGAGAAACTCGCAACTTTGCCGGGGGCAGTACCCATAATGGTTCGCCCCCCAGAGGTTGTACTGTACGACAGGTTCGATGGCAGAGTCGGGTCTGCTTGGAGCAAATCAGCGGATATATGGGCCCTCGGATGCACAGTATGTGGCAGTTGTTGTTTCTGAGACTTTCCGATGCTAATGACGCCCATGCAGATATACCAGATCATGTCCGGCGACGAGCTCATCTGCACCCGGGGCTCACTCAACGACTATCTCCTTCGGGCTGTTCGACTCGGCGGACCTCCACCAGATACCTGGCCCGACATTTCAAACGTTGAAAACGGGCATGAAAATGGTATGATGCATCTTCACGCTCCCTTGTTACTACAAAGATTAAAGCATTCCGACAAACAGGCTCCCAGGACTTCAACAGCCGAGATGAGGCCTGGGATAAATGCGAGGCTAGAGGTAGTCGGCGTGACGGGAAAATGCCCCTGTTTCTAGACTTGGTCAAGAAGATGGTTGTGACGAATCCGGACGAACGGGGTCTTGCGACAAAGCTATTGAGGCATAATTTTTTTCGCAGCCGCACACCTGACGTGATCGAGCCTCTTGAGCGAGTACGCAGAGCTAGAGTAAAAATACTGTGATTAAGACAGAATTTATCATGGCTTGTGCATATTCAGTTTCCTCTACCCCGATAGTCCTCCTCCTTGCGCTAACTGCCACGCGAAGGAGCGGCGTACCCCGCTGAACAAACAGTAGCCCCAGAAAAGTGAGCTGTCATACTTCATCTCAAGCAACAACCCGGATCACGGAGTCAAGAAGAGGCCATGGAAGCCACTACGCTGCTCGCATTGCCCCTGGAGCTGCGCCGATGCATCATTCTAGAGATCTTGAAGCACCGTCATCGCAAAGCGCCCATCCTATCGAACCATGTTGTGGAGAACCGGGTGCGAATCCGGAATCGCTTTGACGACAACTACCCGATAGAGACCAACATCTACGTGCGTAAGCATAAGGATTTCATCCACGGAAACGCTCTACTACAGACAAACCGTCAGCTTCGGCAGGATACGCTAGAACTGATCGAGGACACGCTTAAGAGGGGCAAGGTGGAAATTCCGTTTGTGTTGGACGTGATGGTGGTCAAAGATGTCGGATTGCTGCCCACGTGGATGAGCTGCCCGTACCGACCGGAGCACATCGGAGAGATGAAGATCAATTTGCGCATTTTCAGGCCAAACAAGGACGTCGTGCCTTCAGAATGGATCCCCGCCGCGCAGTATGAGGATTGCCCAAGGCAACATGGGATCAACATTGATCAGTGGACCGTAATGGTCGTGATACTATTTTACGCCATGGGAAGATTCTCAGGCTCGCCAAAGGACACAATCAAGGCCGGGCCGCCTTCGTTACCAGAAGAGGGCTTGAACAAGCTAAGCCTAGAGGAACAGCCTGAAGCGGTTGATGCGTATATATCTGCAAAGGCGCCTTACATCGTCGACGAGATGCTCATCGACGTCAAACACTTTGAACGTTTCGCTGAGGGCAAGGTCATTCGTGGATTTGTAGCAGACGCACCCAAGTCAAGTCCCTACTATAGAGAGGGCTATTACAACTTTGGGCGTCGAATCTTTGATGAGTATTATGGATGTGGACCAAGGTTTGAAACAAACGACTACATAGAACGTCACACCAAGTCAGGAAGAATGTCTGATATACAGCTGTCTTGCTCCATCGACTATTGGGCCAGTTACCTCCGGGACAACTGCTCCGAGGACTCGGCCCTGTTCAACCAGTCGCCCATCCGGATCTACCTCGACGCCATGGCCAGAAACATACGTACAGTTCGACGGCGGGGGGTGAGAGACGAGTTTTTTGTCATGGCCGGCGGCACGAATGAGATAGATGGGCCGTGGGCGGCTGACAGCTCGTGGGAGACGATCTTTTGCCTCCCATTTGAAGCGGATGACGTTGTGACGGCGTTCAAAATAGAGAAGAAGAAGAAGTACCAGGACGAGAATGTGCTGCACTATTTCAGGCTGGCAAAGAGGCGAATGGATCTGGGTTGGTGGGATGCCACCTTTTACAAGTGGATATGGAATAAACGCCGCAGCTGACAAGTTCATGCTGACCCGAGTATTTATTTGGTAGTAATTGTTCTCTGCCGACCTGTCGCCTTGTCGCACTTATATAGGTGCAACCAAGCAACAATACGGAGAGCTCTTGGGACATTCCTTTTCTTCGCAGCCGCACACTGCATCCCGATCGACAAACTCGATCTCGTCATCTTCAACCACTGTGACTCTTGAATCATGCCAGTAACTATCATATTCAATTGCAGCAGTCGACTAATTGGTAATGATAATGGAGGTACAGATGATCTAGGGTGCCTACGAATTAGCATTCATCATCTGCCCCACCCCCGCCTTGCAAAAAAGCGAGATTTTTGAACTCGGCAGCATCGAAATTCCCCTGTTCACTGCGTTTTCCCTTACGCTCATTTTCTCTTTTTGGTCCGAATAACGCGTTGATTTAGTGTTTTTTATTCTGAATCCATGGAGGCTTGGCTGAAGCATTCGGGGGCTGTAGGTGTGGACGCCATAGAGGTTGCTGATTTTCCCGTCACAGGGCGCGGTGTCAAAGCACTGCGTAGCTTCAAAAAGGGAGAACGCATCCTTACCATCCCATCTGCTTGCCTGTGGACGGCGGAGGCGGCGCGCGCCGATCCGCTCCTTGGCCCGGTTCTTCGCTCTGCGCAGCCGCCCTTGTCGGTCGAAGATACGTTGGCCATCCATCTCCTCTTTGTCAAGTCGCGAACAGCAGGCTATGAGGGCCAGCGACTTCATATAGCGGCGATGCCGCAGCGCCACTCGGCAAGCATCTTCTTTGCAGAGGACGAGCTGCAAGTCTGCGAGGGATCGTCGCTGCACACACTCACCACGCAGCTGGAACAGCGTGTGCAGGACGACTTCAGGCAGCTGCTTGTGCAGTTGCTGAGCCAGCATCGTGATCTCTTCCCGCTGGACCAATTTACGATAGAAGACGTAAGTTACATTGCAGCTTTCCCGCGGCCTACGCGCTCCATATCGCTGATGAACTTGTATTTCCCCTTTCAGTACAAATGGGCTCTTTGCACAATATGGAGTCGTGCAATGGACTTTGCAGTCTCAGATACGACTTCAGTTCGGCTCGTGGCACCTCTGGCAGACATGTTGAACCATTCTCTCGACGTAAAGCAGTGCCATGCTTACGATCCAACGTCCGGAGACCTCTCCATCCTTGCCGCGAAGGACTACCAAGTCGGAGATCAGGTTCGTCTACCACCCTGCTAACGTCTGTCAATGCGCCATTTCCAAAAAGCTAACCTCATGGCAAAATGGCAGATATTCATTTATTACGGAAGCGTGCCGAACAATCGGCTTTTGCGTCTTTACGGCTTTGTCCTGCTGGACAACCCCAACGACAGCTACGACCTCGTGCTCCAGACGAGCCCAATGGCCCCCCTCTACGAGCAGAAGGAAAGACTCTGGGCGCTGGCAGGGCTCGACTCAACCTGCACCATCCCCCTCACCGCGAAGCATCCGCTTCCGAAGAACGTGCTTCGTTACCTCCGAACCCAGCGGCTGGACGCAGCCGACGTCGCAGATATGACGCTGCAGCTGCTGAATGGCACCGACGGCAAGGTCAATGACGGCAACGAGATACAGGTGTTGCAGTTCTTGATCGATTCGCTCGGCAGCGTTCTGGAAGGCTTCGGCATCCCGCTGGAAAAGCTCGAGGCACAGCTCGCGGGTGGCTTCTACCCCGCGGGGGGCAACGCTTGGGCCGCGGCACAGGTTAGCGCGGGCGAGCAGGGTATCTTGACACGGGCCAAGAAGACGGCCGAAGATATGCTTGCAGCCGTTACTCGTCCGCTGGCGACGCAGTGCGCCAACTGCGGAAACGGGTCTGGCGCGTTGATGTCGTGCGGCAGATGCAAGGCTGTCAAGTACTGCAAGAGAGAGTGTCAGATTGCGCACTTCAAAAACCACAAGGCCACGTGCCGAACTCTTGCGGGAGCGAAATAATAAAAGTCTCAAGAAGAGCCATACTCCTACCCATGTAGAGGTGCGTGGGGCACGGCCAGCCTCAAACCGCCGAGTCGTGACGATGCTCCCCCTCCACAAACAAAAATATCCAGTCATTTGTGCAGAGAGACCATCCCTCCCCTTCCCCCCGTTGCCGTGACTCCGCCATTCTTTCTCGAGTATTACAAGTCCATTACGATGCCACCCAAAACGCGACAACACGTCTACGACAGAGTCGCCGCTGCCACCGCTATCGCTCGCACCACCACCACCCCCCGCTGCACAATGCAAACAACGTCCGCCAACACCAGCCATAACCAAGCAGCCCAGCCTACACCCGGACAAAAGCCCCAGGCAAATGATGCGCTCTCACATAACATGGGGGAGATGCTTGTTTGTCGCATTCATCCTCTCTGCGGAACTGATGCCCACCGCATCACCGCCGAGGAGCTGCGACGCGACTGGGACATTGTGGTTCAGAAACTCGATCTGCGCACCGGACAGGCGGAACACGGGCAGGCCTTCATCCAACCTATCCCGCCCGACGAGATCCGCCGCTGGCTTGATGAGCTCCGTCCGTGGGATGCGGATTGCGCAGAACCCCATGACTTTGACCTGCCAGACTCGTACGATCCGTACTATGATCCCCGCGTCGGCGAGTCCGTTTCGTTTGGCATTCGGCGCGTGGCCTATAACTATATTGGCAAGTACTATATTTACGAAAAGGGCACTATAATCGAGAATAAGACAAACTGGCTCCCCTGCAAGCAAGTCCCACGCTCTTCCTTACCTGAAAAGGCCTTGCGTCTCGACCCCTACGCTTGCTAACCTTGGTATGAATAGCCCTGGGGTGAAGCACCTCTCGTCTTCCAACTCCAATATTCACCATTGGGATGTTACGCAAATGTTCCACCAGTGTGATCCCGCCACGATCCGAAAACACCGTCTGCATTCCGCAATCCCCCCCAGCAGTGAGCTCCCGCATCTAAGTTGCTTCCTACACGATGATGAGATACTCGAAAGCGACGGGGGGCTGTCCACCGCCGAACTCATTACCATCATGGTCTGCGCATTGCGGCAGGCGACGAATCCCATGTATACCCATGCTTCGGTTATTCCAGTATGTCCCCCCTGGGCCTTTGCATCCCGACCAATCCCATTAATCCACCCATGTACAGATTGTCGTCTTCTCTTGCTCCGGCCGCCAGGTCCGTATTGTGCAGGGCTGTATCGACTTTCGCCACTATCAGTTCGACGTCCGCTGCTCTGACATTCTCGACTTCAACGAGGGAGGCATGCGCCGTACCAAAGAGAACGAGCAGCGCTTCTACACCTTCCTCGGCTGGATCCTCGGCAACCCCGTCGGGAACATCAAGGAGCCGCAGCACCCCGGCAGCAGACGCTAGAATATCTCGGATCTGCCTGTTCTAGTACTGCCATGTCTACAAAGGGTGCCGCGGACCACCGTCGTGCTAGAGTTTGCGGTCATCGTTGTAGCGATATGATGGAGGCTGAAATTGAGACACACAGAGTCGGTTGAAGACCGTCGCATTATCAAACCACCCCATGTCGCGGGCGAGAGGCCACGCGCTGATTCATTCACAAAATCATGAATTTATAGCGATAAAAAATGACATAGGCTGAGGCCCGCGACAGCGAGTGGCACAGGGTATATATAACCCAGCCACAATACGGACAGAGGTATTGTTGTTACCTCCTGGTGCCTTCTCGAGTGGAGGGGTTTTGGCTTAAAGCCAATGATGCCAGCCGCAGCCCCCTGGGCCAATTGCATCACAACATTGGTAAAATACAACAAATTGTGAATTCCTTGCAACAACCAATTATATTTCAGAAATATTCTAAAAATAGTGAATACAAACATTACATAATTATTTCATATCTAAACTTTACAAAACTCTCACATGCGTGTTAAAATCATTTCGACGGCAGGCTCTCGCTTATTAGCTGGGCGATGGAGTAGTCTCCCAGTATTTTCAGCGTCGGAATCAGCAAGCCGGCTTCTTTCGCCAGCCACGAACGCAGCTCCACAGCAATCAGCGAATCCACACCCAACTCGACGAGCGAGGTCTCCCTCGAGACCGTGCCGTCCGACAGCAGAAGCTTTCTCGTCACTGTTCGGATAAACTCCGTCTCGATGATGCTCGCCGACTCGGCCGTTGTCGCGGCCGACGATAGCTGTTCCCTCAGCGACACCTGCGCGGCCGTGCCCGGAGCCAGCGTGTCGCCGCCGCCGTCTTGGTGGCTGTCTATGAAGTGCCACGTCTTTGCGTTGTGGTACCACTTGATGCCCGGCTGCGCTTTGGGACTGGCCTTTTTGAGCCCGGCAATGATGTCTGGGTTGCGACCGGCGGCTGGCTGGCCGGCCAGGATGGCCTCGGCAAAGAGCTCGTGGAGATCCTGCTCGGACGTGTTGTAGCAGCCCATGGCTTCGTTGAGCAGCCCCCGGAGCTTGGCGTCCGCGTTGGAGACGTAGCCGACGCTGAGGATCGGCCCGGGGCTGATGATGCTCCCCACGAGGCCCCGGCTGCGACGCTGGGCGATGAGGCTCGACATGAACGAGTTGGCGGCTGCGTACGCCGCTTGGGACCGGTTGCCCATGTGTCCAGAGATGGAGCCCATCAAGATGAAGAAGTCCAAGTCTGTGCCCTCGTACATGTCGCTCAGCAGAATGCTTCCTTGGACTTTGGGCTTCGTAATGTCCTGCCAATCCGTGTAGGTTGTGTTGGACAGCCATGCATCCCGGATCACGGTCGCCCCGTTCACGACGCCGCCGATTTTTGGAAACTGCTGAACAATGGTGTCGTGCGCCTTGCATATCGACTCTTTATCCGTCACGTCCCTGGTGGCTGTCAGCATATGAAAAAACTCCTCGGAAAAGGACCAACACTTACATTGCGAGAGCCAAAATCTTTGCCCCGGCGCTCGTCATGTCGTCAATCCACCACTGCTCGACCTTTGGGTTTCGACTCGTCAGGACGACATAACGTACTCCTCTGGAAATCATCCACTCTGCGACAGAACGTCCAAGGCTGCCAGTCATGCCGACGAGGAGATATGTTTTTGAAGGAGACAGCAGCACAGTAGATGCTGAAGGGTAAACGCGGACCACGACCTCTCTGTTTCTTGTCCAGTCGATAATATCCGATGGCTCCTCAGACTCTTGCATCCGTTGAACATCTACGAGCTTCGGCATCGGCATGAGCGGGGAGGCTACCAACTCGAGTGCTGCGCAGCACGCGTCCTCGAGAAAAACGGCCGCTGTTGTTGGGGAGCGAGCGTCGCAACGAGACGAGAGCTTTGCAGGAATTTTGCGCAGACTTTGCAAATTCTCGCGACGAACGCTGCTCGGGAACAGTGATTGCAGGCGGCGGCCAAGTCCCTCATCCCGTGGTTCCGCATCTAGGAAAACTGCGGCCGATGCAACGTGAGGTCGAAGAAGACGCGACAATTCGTGCTCTGAAGTCATTTTATGAACGAAAATCGTGGAATCGCTTGCCGGAGAGCGACTGTTCTGTTGGGTGGTGATGAGGACCAGCTTCAGACCGAGAATTGCTGCCGAGGTGGAGATGGCAATGTGCAGCGCTTCCTCGGGCTCGTATAACACGACCGTACCGTTTGGACCAACTTGGTGCAGAAGCGACTGAGCTAGAAGCGTCAGCTCTACATCATGCAAGTAGTGCGCTTCTCTAGCAGTGTCGATGCTGCTGGGAATCGCCCGACACCAGCTTGAAGGGGCCGTGACGACCGACGAGCGGCTGCTAGACAAAGTAAGTACGCGCGCACTGGTGCTCGAATCTACGCCCACCACGAGGTAGAGCAGGCCAGCTCCCTCAAATCTCAAGGGTGCTGAGATGGAGTACCGGACATGAATTTGAGTGACGGCGTCGTCGGCGACGCAAGCAGCTGGTTCGATGGCGCGCAGCGCTCCAGACTCCGACATGCTGACTGTTGAATGTCGAAGATCAGCCGTGTCGTGGATTACCCGCCGGCCTGACATGTAGCGTTTATTCATTTCAGGCTCAGTCTTGAACCGCGGTATCCAGGTCTTGCCATTCTCAACACGGAGTTCCGCCTCTACCGACCAAACACGCTTGCGTAGAGCGTAGTCATTCTCCGACTTGACGAGTCTCACTCGTAATAATTCCTCTGCGATGATGCGGCTCTGCAAAGATTCCAAGTCGACATTGTTGAGGTGTGTATATCGTGCATGCGGATTCTCAATGGCCGCCGATCTCAACAGCCCATTGACCAAGCCGATGTGCGGCTCGTCGCTCTCAGAACCACATGAGACCCAAAACACAGTGTGGCAGGTATCCATAAACAACTTCAGGCCGTCAAACTGTGGCTCAGTCATGTTTTTCAGTAATTGTTTTTCGACATCCAAGACGAGGACTGACGACATTGGCGCGAGCTGTCCAGTGTGGCAAGAGTCGATGGTTGGAGCTGTCACAACACTCTGGAAGAATTTGGACAGGACTGCCTTTAGCTCTGGGATAAGGTGTGCCGCGGTTGAAGAAGTTGTTCCGATGATGTATAGATTGCCATGATTGGGTTTGGGCTGATCGGTATACTCGAGCGGGTTTCGCAGACGGAGCACCTCCTCATCCACAGCCTGAGAAACCAAGATGGAAACAGGTCGTGGTCCGCTACAATGACCCGGTGTGATTGAGTCGACCCCGGAGAATCCCGCCGCCTGAAGGTGCTTGTGCCAATCTTCCTGAGTGCCCATAGGACCAAAGTTGGGGCCATCCGACTCATCGAGCCACCAGTCTTCAAATCCGCAATGGATAAAGGACGCTGCGAGAATGTCGGGATTTAGGCATGCGGCAAGCAGAAAGTAGCCCCCAGGCTTCAACAGCATCCTGGCTCGTACTAATACATCGTGCAACGACACCGTGGGGTAGAGTAAGTTGGTGGCGACAACAAGATCGTATGAGTGGTTGTCGAATCCCTGCTCGGCAGGGCTCGCGGTCATATCAAGAACCTTGTATGTGAAACGCTCCGAGTGGTCTATGGAGCGTTTCAGGAACCGCTTGTCGGTACCATCAAAGGAGTCTGGTGAAGTGTCGGTGTAAGTGTACGAGTAGTACGAAGGCCCAACAGCATCAAGAATGGTGCCGGTAGCAGAACCAACTCCAGCACCAATCTCTAGTATCCTCATGCAAGGGTACCGAAACGTGATTTGGCTTACGACGGATGCCATCTGCTCCAAGATTTCATTGTCCAAAAGTTCTCTAGACATCCGTTGAAGAAAATCCGCCTCGTGCTGCAGGACTTGTGAGATGTTCATCTCGCCACGGAGAAGGGATATCAAGTTGGTTCCGATCATGTCGATAGCTGTCGTGATGCATGAGTCCGGGTCGAGATTGGCACGAACGTTGTCAATGGTGCCATCCATCTGCTGGCTGTCGTATATGGGATGTGTGCCCTCTCGCACCGAATCAATGATGTGGCGAAACCAACGGACAATCTTTTCAGCACGCGGACAGCCTGACAGGGTGTCGTCCACAGAAATCATGTCCAGGATTTGCTTCATGTGCAGAATGACGAGCTGCCCTTGATTCCTGGAATCGCAGCTGAGTTCCAGACGAGTTGCACTCTTGTCCACTGTCGCATCGGGACTCAGAGGCCCCCAGACAGCCTCTGAAAACAAGAGGCGGTCGTCAGCTGCGGTCGGGGGCATCAAGGGCGAGACTTGGACCCCGTCAAACTGAATGGCGCAATTCCCACCGAGATCAAACATGGCCACGTCTCCCTTCATAATTTCAGCGTCAGAGCCGGTCAATTGTGCGTCAAACGCAACCTCATCAGTGGCTATGCCGCCGGGACCGCCAAAGAAGGGATTGATTGTGACCCTGGCGATTCCGGTCGGCACAAGCAGCGTATGAAGCCTGCCGTCATGGCATTCTCCAATGGCTGCGAGAAATCCTTGAAGCAGCGTGTCCATCATGGCGGGATGCACAATCAGCGACCCGTCGGTATTTCCAAGCGACACGTTTGTAATTCGTCCGCTCGCTAGGTCCCTCTTCCTGCCACACTGGGTGATGCCGCGAAATAGACCCTCGTATCCGTAGCCAAACTGGTGTAGGTAGGAGTACAGCTCGTCAATATTTATCTCTGCAAGGTCATGCGGCAGAGCTCGTCTAGATGGCAGCAGGTATTGGTCCTGTTCGCCAAACGTCATCTCCATGCTTCCATGTGCGCAGCGGCGAAGCTTGCCTGCAAAAGTAGAATGACAGGCAAAAGTTGCAGTCGCCCTTGAACCGGCGGCATCGATCTGGAAGTTCTGGATTCGGAAGAAAATCTCCACGTCGGCCAAAAATGACGAGCTATCCTTCAATACTATGGCATTCTCGATCTGGAAGTCACACAGCTGAACCAAGCGCAGTGGTCTGGTGTCCGCAATGATCGCTGCGGCTTCTACTGCCATGGCAACGTAGCCGGTGGCAGGGAACACGATTTGAGACTCAATCTTGTGGCCACTCAGCCATGGAATCTGCTCAGGACGCAGGTAGTTTCTCCAGCACCATTCTCCAGGGGGGCTGTCCGTAGTTGGAGCACCAAGCAGCATATGAACGGATTGCGATCGATGAGCAAAGGACATTGAGGCTCTAGACTCTGCCCAGTAGGCCTTGGATTTATCAAACGGATATGTGGGAATGGTCTTCATCATGGGTGTCATGGAGTCTGAGGTGCTGCCGCCCAGCATGGTGACATAGGAACCCAGCTTACAGGACCCTGGACCAGCAATGGCCCAGAATGACCCTAGAGCGTCTGCGAAACACTTCAGTGCGCTTTCACCGCGACTTAAAAGTGATATGTAAGGCACATTGGCCCCGTTCGCGTGCGGCAGGCTCTCTGAGAGGGACAGCCTCGTCGGGCCCTTGAGGGCTGCGTGAGGGCCGATTTCTAGAATCAGATCAGGAAAAGACTCTTTGGCGGCTGCAACTATTGCCTGAGTGAAAAGGACAGGTTCAAGCATGTTGTCCACCCAGTATGAAGCTTTCAAAGACTTCATGTCGGAATGGCCAATCTCGTGGCCGGGCTTCAAGCTGGAGAACCACCTAGCGGATGCGCAAGTCTGCGGCTGGATCGCGACGCTTTGTAAAGCTGCTAGATATGCTTTAGCACAAGGCTCCATATGGTGAGAGTGGTAGGCCTTGTCGACGTTTAGGACTCGGACAAATCTCTGCTGACTTTTCAAAAGGTCTGAAAGCTCGTCAATGGCAGGAGCATCGCCCGAGAATGTCACGCTCTGCGGGGAATTGTACGCAGCAACAGCAACGCGCCCGAAGAACTCTGGCCGAGTGCACAATCTTATAGCCTCTTCTGCGTCTAGACCTGCGGCGGCCATGGCACCGAGCTGATGTCCGGAGCCGGCGAGCTTCGCAACCATGCCGCGCAAGTGCGCGATGCGAATGGCTTCGGCAGCGCAGACGGCGCCGGCAGCGTACGCCGCGGCGATTTCTCCCGAAGAGTGGCCCACGACGGCCGAGACGCCAAAGCCAATCTCGCGTAGCAGATTGACCTGGATGATTTGCAAAGCAGTGCATAGCGGCTGCGAGATGGCGGCCTCGCGCAGTCGCGAGGAGTCTTGGGCCGCGGCCAGTTCCTGCGCCAGTGAGTAGCGCGGACGGTACTGCGGCGGCAGGCTGTCGAGAGAGTCCTGTAGCTCCTGCAGCCATCGTGTGGCATGCGGCGAGGCGAGGAGTAGGTCGATGCCCATGCGCGGCCACTGCGCACCCTGGCCGGTGAAGACGGCCAGGACTCGTTTTGGGCCGGGGCTGGTCTTTCGAACCGTGGAAGACGTCGCGGCGCTTTTGTCTTGTCTGCGCGCCAGCTCGGCGTCAATCTTGTCCTGGAGGTCCCGGGACGACACTGCTTGGGTGACAAACTTGTGCGTGAAGACATCCCGCCGGGAGAATAGAGCCTTGGCGAGATGCGTATAGTCGACGTCGCCATGCGTCGCGAGGTACTGGCTCCAGGACTGGAGAAGAGAGACCAGAGTTTGATCGGACGGGGTAGAGAAGACAAAGGGGAGTGGTATGTTAACGACTGGAGCACCAAGACCATTGAGCTTCGTTTTTGCGGCCACGCCGTCATAGCTTTCAAGGATGGCGTGCGCATTCGTGCCTCCGAATCCGAACGAGTTGACGGATGCTCTGCGCGGCACTCCTTCTGGAAGCTCCGGCCAAGGCTGCGCTATTGTGGGGATGCATATGTTGTCGTAGTATGGCTCAATCTTGGGGTTGAGGGTTTCGAAATGCAGGTTGGGCACAACAAGGCCGTGCTGGATAGACAAGGAGGCCTTGATGAGCCCGGCCAGTCCTGCCGCGCCTTCAGTATGGCCAATCACGGTCTTGATAGAGCCAACAAGCAATTTTTTCTTGCCAATTCCGTTCAATTTTGCCTCAGTCTGGGGGAAGAAGACCTCGGCGATGGCGCTCGCTTCCTGGGGGTCTCCAGCCTGTGTCCCCGTGCCGTGGGCCTCAAAGTACTGACAGCGCCCCTCAGCCGTGTCCGGTCGCAATCCGGCTTTTTCGTAGGTAGACCGGATCAATCGCGCTTGCGCTGCACCAGAAGGCATCGTAATTCCCATGGTACGGCCATCCTGATTGACGCCAGTCTCTCGAATGACGCTCTCGATGTGGTCTCCGTCTGCGATAGCATCCGAGAGTCTCTTGAGAACGACAGCCGCGATACCCTCGCCGCGGGCATAGCCGTCGGCGCTGATATCCCACATCTTGCCTCGTCCCGTCGGGGACAGCATATTGAGCGGCGATGCAAAGAGGAAGAAGGTAGGAGACATGATGAGATTTGTGCCGCAGGCGACAGCCATACGGCAGCCGCCCTCGCGGAGGGACTGCACTGCCAGATGGGCCGCAATCATGCTGGACGAGCAGGCAGTGTCGAGTGTCACGGACGGCCCCTGCCAGTCGAAAAAGTACGACACTCTGTTGGACAGATTGCTGCGCGCCACGCCCGTTGCCGTGTATTGCGGTGCATGATCCGTGTCCCGGAGGAGAATCTGGTTGTAGTCGTCAAACATGGTGCCGCAGAAGACGCCCGTGGAGGAGCCCTGGAGCGAGGTCGGCCGGATTCCAGCTCTTTCAATAGCTTCATATACCGTCTCGAGCAGGAGACGCTGCTGCGGGTCTATGCCCTCGGCCTCCATGGCGGAGATGTTGAAGAAGGAGGCGTCAAAGCGGCGAACATCCTCGGATAGAAAGTAGGCCTCTCGCACGTTTGTCGTGCCGTGACGCTTGCTGCCAGTGTGGTAAAAGGCATCGATATTGAAGCGGTCTGGAGGCACTTCCGAGGCCAGGTCGACCGGGTCCTTCAGCAGCGACCACAAGGCGGACGGCGAAGTCGCTCCGCCGACGAACTTGCATCCGGATCCAATGATCGCGATTGGCTCAGAGATAGGCATTGTCGAGATTGAATGGTATGTAGCAACGAATGTGCCCTGGTAAGAGTGCAGCTTGCAGATGAATGATGGCTGTAGGGAGATATTCCGAGAAAACTGCGAATTTGACTTGTGAGATGGAGTTTCCAGATGGTCAATTTAACATTGTAGTAGCTTCGAGATTGAATTCCATATGGCCTTGTGTCGAATCAGACATAATTACGTCAATGACCGCCGGAGAGCGTCCGGGGTTCGATCACGGCTATCAATACCCTCAGCTGCGCGTGGCCGTATCGGGACAAGAGTCCGAGGTTACATCACATGTAGAAATTGAATAGCATGACGAGTACATATTCCATGAATTGATTGAAGTGGCATCATATATCTCTACAGAGGCGTGACCTTTCCCGAGACAAGGCGGAAGTGGCTTGGCTGAGCGAGAATCATACGTAAAATGAGAACTGGGAGCATTTCGTGCATGAGTGCTGGGGTCACGACTTGGCACGCGAGTTTGGGGGCTGAAAATGTTGCATTTGCGAGACAGTAATTTGCAGAATGGATGTTGTCGGAAGGAAGAGCGATCATTCTTCTTTACTCTGCAGGTTGTACTGGTCTCAGTTGGAAGACGTCACAATCCTTCAACTCCTTCCCAAGCCATCCTTGATATCGAACATCACATCCATAACAGAGTATTCAGGAATCTCTGTCGGTATTGACAATGAATTTCCAGAGCCTCACCAACTTCTTTTCCCCAGTTCGTCCTTGGGATTATCGCGATGCCGCCCGAGCGACGCAGTACTCGGTCAGTCGGCACGGTCTGAGAAAGGGCATCAAGCAGGAGTTCAGTCGAAAGAAACTAATACAGGCAATTGTATCCAGATTTTTCGCGACAGTTTCAAACTCACCACCTGGCTTGCACTTGGCGCTTGTCTCCAGGCACTCCTCTCCTACCTGCTGCCTCCCGCCTTTGCTGTGGCGCCCGTGTCTCTCCTCCTGACATACCGCGTTCTACGTCCGATTCTCGCCCACCAGAGCCTGATTCGCCACAAACAGATGGACGGCGTTTTCTTGGGAAAGCATACCGTTCAATCACCTCTCAAAGATGGTGGCCTGTCTGCGAACTCGTCGGAGAACGCCGTCGCCATTCTCATATTGGCGGCGCGATCAAACCAGTTCGCCACCCTCGTCATCTCCCCCATTTCTGCTACTAATTAACATCACACAGTGCACTTGGAATCTTTGGACCCGGGTACAGAGATGTATCTCTGTATATCAACGGCATGATTGAGGATCTCTGGAAGAACGCCAACGATCACGGCTGTGCGTATGGCCACCCCTCGTTCTCGTATCACTGCTGACAACAAAACGCAGTCCTGGGGCAGACTACCTGGATCGCTGCCAATGAAAGGTACACCAACAACCAAGTCATGGTTCTCTGCTACTTCCGCTCCATGGAGCATCTACACAGGTACGCGCACGGCTCACTGCACAGCAAGGCGTGGAGGTGGTGGAATCGGACCACAGCCAAGCACCCACACCTGAGCATCATGCATGAGATGTACCACGCACCAAAGGGTCACTGGGAAAACATATTTATCAACAATCATATGACAGGAATCGGTGAGTCGAGTCGCACAGCGTCGAGGTTCGGCTTATGCAGAGGTTGTGTTAATACCTGTTGTGTAGCCTCTCCGCACGCCATGGCCAACGTCCCGGAGAATGCGTTCTGGCCTCTGGTGGATGCCAGTCAAGGTAGCCTGCGAACTCAAACAGGGCGGTTGGGCCGAGGCGACGGCAACGAAAACGAAGGCTACGGTCCTGTGCCGTATCAGCCAGCTCAGTAGATGCACAGAGTACATGACGCCCCATCAACTGCAGCGCGTCGGTCTGGACATGACTAACAACTACTTGTTGGTCAGTAATTTAAGGTCAATATATTTACGTCTCGTATTGGGCTACAAGTACATACTCTTGCCTTGATCCATGCGTGTAGAAATTGGGCTCAGCATCGCATCCCAGCGCCAAGCACACGGCCATCTCAGCCACCATAGTAGACCTGCCACAAAACTCAATCTTAATTTATGAACATACGAGTAACAGGGGTAACGCATAGAAGATGGACGTGTCGTCGTTCTTTGGCGCTTGGCGTGTCTCATCCCGGCTCGCACGATAGAGCATGTTCGCAGCCGGATCGCCAGCTTGTACTACCTGATATAGTACAGAATAGCATTGCACGATGTGCACCGAGTTTTTGTCCTTGCGGGATCAGAGACAGGTTTCGGCGTGAACCCGCTCACACCCTTCCGGGGGAAGACAGCCGCTCAGCAGCAGCGAGACAATGCGACTCCTCATGCCGTACAGCCTGATCGTGTGTCTTGACCTAATTTGCATGTTTTGGGCATCGAGTTTCGGCGACGAATCGATCGCGTAACCAGACCACGATTGCCGGCGATCGCTTCGCCGAAGCAGGGGTTGCTCACGCAGCACAGTCCTGTACAGACGACGGATACAGCACCCATTGCCATTGTCAGGGTCGCGCGCTTTCCGACCGTTCCTACGGCAGACTCTTAGTGCAACACGAGATAGCCTATCATGTATTATCGTATAATTTTAGTCTTGATGAATGTATCAGTCTGAGCTCAGAATAGAATTGGTGATAGTGGTGCTACTGAGATGGCGCTTGCCTGACAACCGTCAGCAACTTGTCCTTTAGAGACCTTTTTGTCCTCTTCTACCTAATTCGCAACATTTGTGTTTTTTTTAGCTCCTTTCCGATTTTACGTAGGCGGTAACCGTGCGCTTCAGCTCGAGTCTCGACAACTTCTTGACTGACGTTTTCGGGAATTTACTCATGCCGAGCTGCTCGAGACAGACCACACCATCAATTCGGTAGTCTGGACCAATGGCCCTTACAAGACTATTGACGTCTGATGCAGCCACGTCTTTGGCTACATCGGTCGTCTCAAAAACTGCGTATGGCTGCTCTCCGCCATCGGCACTGGGCACACCTGTAACCCGGACCTGTGTCGCAGTCAGCATAGGTCTAGACTTTTGGACTCGCAACTCTTCCAGAAGAAGCTGAATTCATGCAGATGTCATGCCATACCTCTTCCTTGAAATGTTCGATCAGGGTGTTCTCCATTGTGGCAGGATGCAGCCACAATCCCGCGCACTTGATGGCATCTTGGACGCGGCCCAGGATGTAAACGTGGCCCGCGTCATCGAGCACTGCCGCGTCGCCGGTTCTAAACCACCTGCCACTCTCGTTTTCATAGAACGTATCCCGCTCAGGGATGATGCCCACGTATTTGTCAAAGACAACGTCGCCGCCGACGTGTAACTCACCCGCCACACCGCGCCGCACCACGCGACCGTCCTCATCGACGACCCGTATCCTTGCGCCCGGCATAGCAGTTCCACACGACGGAACACCCAGATGCGTCGGGGCCTTTTTCGGATACACAGACCATCCTAGCACACCCGTTGCTTCGCTCATGCCCCACATCGGATAGACGAAGCCCCCAGGAATGGCCTGCTGCAGTTCTGCGAGCTCGGCTGCCGTCGCGAGCGTGCCGGTGATGAAGACATGTCGAAGAAACTTAATCTTCTCTTGGGAGAACTCTGGGTGCCTGACAATGGCACGAATGGCCCATGGCATGTATCCGACGAGAGAGATCTTATGTTTCTCGATTGCGTGAAGAGTTGCCTCTGCCGAAAACTCTCCGGACGGTATCACCAACAGCCCAGCATTATGCCAACACAAGTATATCAGGCCATGTGCCAAGGTCAGCGTGTTTGAGCTAATGACTGCCGTTGCGGGAATATTGATTGGCTTTTCGTGATTCGCGGTGCGGCTTTGCGTCCTCGTCGCAGCCAATAGAGCGCGGACGCTCTTCTGGACACACTTGGGCTCGCCCGAGGTTCCGCTAGTAAACGCAGTCAAGACGATTCTGTCAAGACTATCCGATACCGGATTTGCCTCCATGACGTTCTCATCGCCAGCCCACGACTCCTCTGCGATGCCGCCAAAGCTCAGCCAGCCCCGACGGGGTGTCGTCAATTGACCCATGCACAAGCCCAGAAATGGTTGCTGCGACTGATCCCTCAACTCGTCCATTCTTGCCACTTCACATTCGCTCTCCACAACAATGCATGAAGGAGCGAGGATTTTCAGGTATCGTCGCAGCTCGGCTTCAGAGGCTGGCTCAAGAAGCGCTTGCGGCAGGCCCGCGGTGGTGTAGCACTTGAGGGCCGCGACCCATACCAGGAGCGCCCACTCCGAGCAGCTGGGAATCAGGTGCAGCACGGTTGATCTCGGCTGGACCTGATGCCTTTCAAAGACAGACCCAAGTCGCGCTGTGCCCCGCATGAGCTGCATATAGCTCCATGTAAGACAGTCTGCTGACGGAGCAGAGCGCCCAACGAGTCCTTGCAGGTGGTCACCCTGTTGGTGCGCCACGACGAGAGCAGGCCCGTTCGGACTGAGGTCGATACCGCGCTGCAGGAGCGACCACGCAGAATTTCCAGACAAAGGACGTGGCGGGCCACCGTCCAGCTCGGACAGTGATTCCTGTGGCGACGAACTGACCACGCTTCTCATTTTCGTCGGACTGGCGGGAGCAGCAGCGTCGATAACCTGCATATTGATCCGTTTGGTCAAGTTGTGAGCTTAAATCCGGTAGACTAAGTGAATGCTCTTGAGCAGGAGTCAGCGTGTAGGAAGAATACGCCGTGGGGGTTGGAAGGTTATATACGTGCGACCCCAGCTGAAGTATCTCCACGGTATCTTGATGTATCATATCCTCTAGATATCAAGATAGAGCCAACCCAAGCCCAGAAGGACTGGGAGTGTAACTCAACATCCGTCAAGGTCGTACTGCGACGATCGGGTGGCGAGGTCAGCAAGTCTCGGCAATCGGGCTCACGCGGCCGTTGACACTCGAAGCCCGTCTGAGACCGAGAATCTCAGCTGACGCCACTCGTGGTCTAATCCATTCTGTGTACATGTTGTCTGCCACTCCGGTGTCTGCAGCCGCTGTCTTGTCCGCCCGTGACCTTGTGCCATGTCATACTCAGTCTGGTGCGCATGAGTACGTCGTAGATATTTTTTTTCGATGGCAAATTTTTTTTTCCGATGACAAGGTTCTACCCTGGCGTGCATGGATGCTGAGGTCCCTGTACCTTCATTCCTTGTCGGGCCATACTTGGTGCCGGCTCGATGCAGGATTTGCTCTTCTTGCCTAGCAATCGGCATTCAAGGTAGGACATGGTTATGCGAGCTACAAGCAATCTGTACGTAGCAGCATGTAGCACAGGCGCCTCTATTCGTGGGGGGCCTCGGATGATAGACTTGCATGATAATCTTTTTCCCGCCACCAGTTTGGAAAGCTCTCCCCTCCTCCACCTGATGGCATTGCACTGTCCATCCGCACCCGCCACACCCCTCAATGGCTTCTCCAAGCCCTCCAGACGCCGGGGACGACGCATCTCCCATAAGCTCTCGGCCCAATGGCCACCTAGTCGCCGATCAGAGTAGCCAGCCCTCTGGCAAAGACGACGACGTGGCTCCCCCATGGCGTTTCTGGCTGCTTGCTGTCGGGTTCGCCCATCCTCACCACCCTGAAGCTGGTATCGCGCTGACATTTTTGCGTGCAGAATTTGCCTCAGTTTGTTTCTCTCCATGATAGATAGCTCTGTGGTTTCAACCTGTCTATACACCATTGGGTTAGAATTCAAGGCGCCGCAGTCGGTCAATTGGGTAGCACTCGCCTACTCGTTGGCCCAGGTGGGATGCGCGGCCACTTTTGCTCAACTTTCAGACATCATTGGAAGGCGCAATATCTTGATCGCTGCAAACGCCATATTTTTTGCGTTTTCGTTGGCATGTGGCTTCTCAAGGAACATTCACCAGCTCATCGCACTCCGTGCGCTTCAAGGTGTCGGGGGCTCGGGTACGTATTTTGCCGTCTTGCCTGAGTGCTGTCATCAGTTGTTGACAGGCTCGATATAGGTCTATACTCGATGCCCATGATCGTACTTCCTGAGATCTGTCCTATACATCTGAAGCAATATATCGCCGCCGTTGTCGCAATAGTCGTCGCGGGGTCTTCTGTCCTCGGCCCTGTACTAGGCGGTCTCTTGACGAACTATGCAACGTGGAGATGGGTTTTTTTGGCTCAAGTGAGTATTTCCAGGAGCTATGCCCAGCGGAAAGACCCAGCTATTGACATCACACAGCGGTCCGATCTGTTTCATGTCCATGCTGACCTTGGTACTGTTGTGGCCACCCGTTCAAAGCCTTCCTAGTGTCCCGAAGCAATCCTGGAGGTCATTCGACGCTATTGGCACCTTTCTACTCATTTCCGCCGCAGTACTCGTCGTATTTGCCTTTCAAAACGTGGGCGAGTCTAACAATGGCGTGTGGTCCAGCGCCGTCTTTATTGCTCCCCTGACGATTGGTACAGCTAGCTGGGTGATGCTCTTCGCATGGCAGTATTTCATCAACCAGCGAATGAAGGGGCGCATCTCACCAACATTTCCCGTCGCACTTTTTCGCAATCGACTATATGTATCGGGCATCCTTACAACGTTGGCCACTGGCTATCCACTGTTGCTCATTATTTTTTCCTCCACTACGAGGGTTCAAGTGGTCAGCGGAAAGAGTGCGCTGATTAGCGGCGTGATGCTACTGCCGATGCTGGGCACCATTGCCATAGGAGGCATGATTGCCGGCAAGGTCAACCAAGCCAAATACCGTGTATCCGAAACCATCATCGCCGGCGCTTGTCTTGTGCTTCTCGGGTGCGGGCTTCTGGCGACGGTGCGCGGCGCTGCAGATGATGCAAAGGCTCTGGGGTTCCTTGTCTTTCCTGGGCTCGGATTCGGTCTGTTGACTACTGCGGCTACCATCATGGCAACAGTCGAGTCATCTCCTCAAAACCGCGGTATGTGCTGCAATTTCAGTCCAACTCCGTTTTCGCTAGCTCACGGTTTCTTAGCATCCGCACAGGGAGCGTTGGCACAGCTCAGAATGTTTGGTGGTAGTCTGGGCATTTCTGTGTCGACGGTGTTGCTGCATCGCGAGATGTCCAAACTTTTAAGCAGCCCTTTTAGCCCCCGCGGTCTATCAGCCCTCGGCGGCGGTGAGGTGCGTTTGTCGGCTAGTGAATGGGATGCAGTGCGCACGGCATACTCGGAAGCTTTTCGCAAGTGTATGTTATCTGCCACTGCGGTAGCTGCAGCCGGTGTCTTGTTCGCTATAGGAGGCAGTTGGCGAGAAAAGAAGCCGAGAAGAACATAGGCAAGGGACGGAATCTGCATGATTGCTCTGCGTTTTTCTAGGCCTTGTATTCGGAAAGGTTGGTAAAATAATAGAGAGTAAGAAGAAAATAGTTATTAGATCCCCTTAGTCAGCGCCTGTAGGCTGCGACCGGGCAACATGGGCGACCACGGAAGGAACAATTCTGCCAGTGACCAAGCTAAACAATAATTTTGCCCCTTGATATGTTTGGCCCTTTTCTTCTTCTTTTCTCTTTCACCATAATCGTCAAGCTATTCTTCTTCTTTTCGCGTCCACCACCATTTTACTGACGAAATCTCAGCACAAGATAAACTCACTAAAATCCGCTTCTTTAAAAAAAAAAAAAAAAAAAAAAAAAAAGGTAAAGTCACATAAAGTACTTCTTACCTATATATTTAATCTAACCTTTAGTTCGTAATATGCTTGATTTTAAGCCGGAACGCCCTTCACCAACCTTGAAACGCCCAAGTGGTACAAGCCTACGAAGCAAACAATAGCAACTCATACATGCAAGACAATCAACTCTCAATAATGAAGCGCGGCCACTCTAGCCAATGCGACCACTCCGCGCCCAAGTAGTCGACGAGAGAAGACAAAATAAAAGCGCCAGCGTCGCCAATCTGCCACATATGCCGACCGCGATGCAGCAGCACTGCGTACCAGCCCATAATGGCAGCCGCTTCGGGGCGATGGCGGCTGAGCAAATCCAGAAACTCTTCCAAAAGGAAAACCGGCCAACCCGTAATCATCTGATACGAATTCTTATCCGGTGTGGGGTCGGCCAAGTCATCGAGGCCCGCCTGGAGATGATGCACGGCGCTACGGCACGCCTCGCGAGCGACGGGATCCAGGCCGGGCGTGATGGCCACGAGCCGCAGCAGCTGGTCGCACTCACGGCCGCGTTTCGCCACGCGCTCGCTGGCAGCGGTGTTGCGGCCCCAGTGGAGAAACGGGGCAAGCTCCGAGGCGAGCAGGGCGGACCACGACACGCGGGCGACGACGGCGCGGGTGCCCCGCTGCAGCTGGGCGCACTGGACAAAGGCATCGATGAAGGCGACAAAGTCGGTCTGTACCGCGTACAGCGTGTCGACGAGCGAGTGGCGGGACAGCAGCGCCGAGAAGAGCACGGCGGGCATGGCGGCGTCGCTGCGGACGGGCTGCGAGGCGCTGAAGCGCTCAATGGCGCTCGTCTGCAACGCAATGGCCTGGCTGTAGTAGTACTGGAAGTCGGCCGGGTGCAGGTAGGCGAGGTGGCGCGCGGAGATGGCCAGCACCTGGTACAGGAGATAGGGCGTCTCCAGGGCCAGGCGCAGGACGAGCGCGGTGCCGTCCTTGCCGACGTGGTCCGGCATCTCGGGGGCGACATTGGAGATGGAGAAGTGGAGGATGAGACGCATGTGGTGGATGTTGACGGCGGCGGATGCTTCTGGATCTGCGACGAGCTGAGATGAGATGCTGTGCCCCGGCGATACGGTTGTCAACGGCGTCGTTGCTGCAGCAGCCGCCGCTTCTGGCACCTCTGCATGGGAGCTGGACCTCTTTATTGGGAGGTCGCTGGGGGCAGCCGATTTCCGTGCTGCATCCCGTCGCAGTTGGGCCTGGCTCAGTTTGCGGCGCCGTATTGCTGCGTATTCGCACGTCGACTCGACCACGACGCAGTTGGCGCACTGTGGCTTCCCCTCGTCACACTGGGTTGCTGGGTCAGGACTGAAGCAGAGTCATTCTGTGGGACACTGCCACTAACCTTGATATGCCGCCGCTTACACTCGACACACCCGTTTCGTGATTTCTTGTGTGGTTTTCGCGTCATGGAGAGTCGTTGCGTGTGCGTCGTGTTTGCAGGGAGGAAAATACGAAACCTCGCTGTGCTGCGCCGTTTACGATTAGAGTTCAGCACTGTGGGCCTATGCCTTAAGAGCTAGAATACGGGCTGTGCAAAAGAGTGCCATCCGAAGTTGGTCGGCTTTCGCGATGAAAATTCATTGCCGTTGTCCTGTGAGGCTTCTCTTGCTTTTCCTAACCTTGTCAACATAATAGGCACATCTGTTTGGCGGTCTGCAAGCGCCATCATCGCTCACGCAACACGACGTGCACTCTGCACACATTACCATCTTGAAAGTAAAACCACGTCACTTTTACTCTAATCGGATTCCATCTATCTAAAAAAAAAAACCTCACATCGCTATAGTACACGTCCCGCAGGTTTATCCCATAAACGAAATTAAACCGATGACTTGCCGTCATCCCCCCTCGATCGGTCCTCAGAAGTCAACATCTCCATCGCCATGCCCGATTGTTTCTTGGGATAAAGTATGTTCGGGTATTTATAAGCAAAGAAAACCACGGCCAGGAACATGAGCGTCGCGTCAAAAACGTAGACGCACCACTCGTGGGTGAGAAGATACCCCTCCTGGCCCATGGCGTATTCGATCGTTCGAAACAGGTTTCGCACCGTAATCAGCCCAGAGGTCGCGTAAAGCATGACAAGGACCGCCTGCCAGGGAATCCCAAGATAACAGTTGACGAGCCCGTGGCGGGTGAAGCGAAGATGGAAAGAAAGTGCGACGGCACAGAAAACTCCAAAGACAATAATCTGAAAGACGAGGCCGCCAATAATGATGTTTTGGCCCACGCTATGGAGGCTCGGCGTGTCGGCCATGACGAGAATTCCCGCCCCGCCGCCTTGGATCGCGAAGCTGACAACGTCGCCCGTGACGAAGATGGCGGTGATCCATTTCGCGCGAATAAGGGTGTATTTCTCACCGTCTACCGCGCTGACAACGCGACTCAGTGTCATGTACAGCGATGCTGCGAAGAGAATGGGGGCCAGCAGCAGGAGGATGGACTGGATCATGTAGGGAATCATCTCGCCCGTCTGGTCGTATGCGATACACCGTCCGACATAGCCAATTGTTTCGACTAGGTCCATCCATCAGTACTCTGGCGAAAGCAGAGAGCATCCGCCGATTGTCGGGAACAGGCAACAGGGACTTCTTACAGAGACAGCCAATGGCAAAAGGCAGACAGAACCAGTGCCGGTGCCTGAACAGGAGGAAGCTGTGATAGGCGGTCGCGAATGCGAAAAGAACGATAAAGGCGACAGCGGCAGGGCGATTCGGAATGTATTTCCAGAGCGGATAGCCGTTGTGAAGCTCGAGAGTAGGCATTTTGGTCGTTGAAGTCTTGGTTGGAGAAGCGTTGAGGGTATGAAGCGATTTCACAAGAACAGCGGTACGACTGAGTATTAATACCTGTCAGAAGAACTAAATCACTACATATAAACCATTCTTGATCAAAAATATTTTTATTTGCTACTTTTTTTTTCTTCCCGTACCTTGCACTCTTTTCCCAGGCACACGGATAAAGGTTTCTGAAATACGCGGGGATCTTGAATACGCGGGGAATCTGAATACGCGGAAGTCTGCAAGCGAGAGCGGGGCCCCAGTTCCCAAAAAGGTAATAAAGCGTTTTGGCTTAATACGCCGTTAATACGAGCACGGCTATCTACGGAAGGAACGGGAGATCACCAGGAAATGCCACCCCACGATATAGTATAATTTTATGCATCAAATTCCACCCGCCGCATCGTTCAACGCACAGAGAAGACCATCCACCGACGTAGCCGATAGGTCGCCCTACAATCCTGTCTAATATTGTTTTTAGAATGGTAAGTTAGAGTTTGATTTGCGAAAATTCCGATTCGATGTATATGTTTGAACCCCGATTTATTTATCCAAGTCTGCTCACACTCATTCCCTCACTTTCATCTGCGCAAACCGTGCGTACCACTCGACAGACCATCATGTAACATGCTACCATTGCCACCTCGAAAGGCCACAGGTCGAGTAAACAGGCAACCTCCTATTCTAGTGCAGAATTTACCACATCTGTTGCAGGTTTCGACCCATCCACCGTATGGGGTTCACAGATTGGTACCCATGTTCGTCCTACTCGCAACAAACTTCTTCTGGTGTCGAGATGTTTGCTTTCGAATTATAGTTGCAACACGCCATAGTATGAATGTTCAGGGCAGTCGAGGTGAGAGAGTTTTCGTGTCGAAAATGAGGCGACTCTCAGTATATGCCCCTCTGCATCTAAGAACAACTGCAAGACCAGGGTTTTTGAACAATTGACTGACAGAGGGAATTTTCTTGTTGAAATTCGGCCACTGTTTTCCAGCAGTTACAGGGTGGGCAAGGGGGTGGAGCTGAACCACCTCCCCCGTGGAAAATAAATAGAGGTAACGGGATGAAGATGGGGAAAGGGAAGAACGCATAAGCATGGCTGACGAAGAGGCTCGAAATAGCCACAGTAAGGCTGGCCTTCATGATGGTGGGGGTTGAAAGATAGGGTATAGTGTAAGGTTTGGAGTGCAGAGATGGTACGGGGATAGGAAGAGACTTATAATCTTGTAAAGGTGGCATACAATACATAGCGTCTTATGAATTACATGACTCTCTATGAGATAAACCATCAGGTCTGGCGGAAGTCCTGATTTCCATGGCGGGTGTGCTGCCGAGGCGGGGCGGACAATGAGAGACAAAATCGGGCTGTTGCAGTACTATAATCCTGAGAAACAAGAGGCAGTGGCTAGCTGAAGCCAAGCCGATTCTTGGATGGCATCCCGCAATCCAATAGGTCAATTCTGTCTCAATAGCGCAGATGACTCTGTATATAATAGTGGTGGCGGGCTGAAAGATCTCAGTTGAGACGGCATAGGCGACACTCTACGGATACGAGCTGTATGGTGGTGTCGGCGAAAAATTGTAGTTGGGACGGCAGAGGCGCCACTCTACGGATGCGAGCTTAATGGTGGTATCAGGCTGAAAGATCTCAGTTGGGACGGCATAGGCGACACTCTACGGCTACGAGCTGAATGGTGGTGTCGGGCTGAAAGATCTCAGTTGGGACGGCATAGGCGACACTCTGCGAGCTGAGCTGTGTCTGAGTGGTAACACAAGACATGCGTCGTATTCCTCCGAGAGTCGGGCTTTCCAAGTCGGGGAGAATTGGATCACGAAGCGAGAAGTCTTGCGCACTCTAGCTGAGCAGAGTTCATCAATACTTCCAGTTCATTTCTCGCAAAGAATCCCTACCGACAGTACCTCTATATAAGTCGGACAGGACATCACACAACAGCGTCTACTGACCTGCTCTCACTATCACCGCCAGCACTCCTACTACACTACAGCCTTCATCACTTTCTCAACATGCAGCTTCCCAACTCTGCTGTGAAGTTGCTGTCGTTGGCTATCTTGGTGGTGCCAGCTGTCGCGGCGCTTGACTGCGTCAATGAAGTCGACCACAAGAAGGAGTACACAACGTGAGACTCCCATAATGCCCGCGCGCATCTTCTTCATCGTCCCTCAGTCACTAATAACATCATGTAGCAACGGCAAAGTCTACAAGCTTTACTGTAATAGCGAGATCAAGCCGATTACGCCTTCGGAACGTATCGACAACGTTGCGACCCCTGAAGAATGTGCCAATCGTTGCGCTCAGAAAAGCGACTGCCGCCATGCTTACTACCCTGCAAAGTATAAGATTTGCTTCTTGAGGCCCCCACAGACCTCAATAGGAGAAAAATCCTTCCAAAACATGGTTGGCACTGGCGGTAATACTTGGGGCTGGATTTATGATCGCGAAGCACCAGCCGAAACTGGCAACACCGGAGGCAACGCTGGAGGCAACGCTGGAGGCAACG